CCCCCTCCTCTCGGTACTCCCCCTCCCTTTCCTCCCCTCACTCCTCCAGCTTCCGCAGAGCGTTCACCTGCTCCCCAATCCCCACACTCTCCTCAAACTCCATCATCCCAGCCACTTCCTTGCACGTCACCCCCTCCCTGGTCGCCACCTTCCCCAACAACTGGCCTCAAGAACATGAAGATGATGATGAAGACGGCACTGGGGAAGTAGCCGACCTAGGACCCATTTGGCGAATTTTCCATAAATTTATGACTGGTACGTTGTTTAGCCAATTACTAGAAAAATGTCTAATGTTTCTATTTAGCGCGAAAATGTTCTCCCAATGGAACTTTCCTTCCGCCCGACGCACCTCCATCTCCACCTCCTCAGCGCCCACCAACCGACTTCTTTCCCTTCAATGATCAACTTCAGTTTGAAACCGCGGACCTTCTTTTTTGACGAACTCAGATGTCAGGTGGACATATCGACCTTCTCTGCAAGATCTGGGAGTGCATGATGCCGAGCAACACTAGCTCACCCTTCCCCGACCACAAGACCATGTACCGCACCATTGACGCTATTGAAGTCGGCAACATTCCATGGCAATCGTTCAACATCACCTATCAGGGACCTCGTCCCAGCAACCATGTTCCTCCGTGGATGAAGGCAGAATACGATGTTTGGTTCCGCGACCCTCGGGAGATACTCAAGCAGATGCTCGCACGGCCGGATCTTCAGGAGCACATTGACCTCACACCATATTGTGACTATGACGACTCGGACATGCATCATTACGAGAACCTGTTGTCGGGTGATTGGGCTTGGGACCAAGCGGTCAGTTTCTGAGCCCTCTTGTTGTTCGTTTTAATTGACTTATTCTATAGGTCCAAATTTCCGAAGACCCAGACAACCACGGGGCAACGTTCATCCCCTTTGTTCTTGGTAGTGACAAGACTACCGTCTCTGTTGCTACCGGGCACACAGAGTATTACCCCTTGTATATCTCCCTCGGCAACGTCCACAACAACACTCGCCGCGCTCACCAAGACGCTCTCGCTCTCGCCGGCTTTCTTTCAGTTCCGAAAAGTACGTGCCCTGCAGTCCGGTTTAGTGGACCAAACTAACCTTATTGTCTAGCAAACAAGACATACAATGTGGACCCTCAATTCCGGCATTTCCGGCGCCAGCTCTACCACTGCTCCCTCGCGACAATCTTTGACGTCTTCAAAGCCGGGATGATGAAATATGAGGTGGTCCAATTTGGCGACGGTTACCACCGGCGAGTGATTTGGGGGATCGGGCCTTACATAGCAGACTATCCCGAACAAGTCCTTCTCGCTGGTGTCGTTCAGGGCTGGTGTCCCCGGTGAGTACCCTTTGCGTGTACAATGGTGTCCCAGTATTGATTGATTCCCCTCAGATGCCTGGCATATCCCGAGAACCTGGACGCCGATGACACACTGCTGCGCTGCCGAGAGCACAACAACGCACTTGTGGAGGACTTCCATCCGGTTATGTTATGGGATTCTTATGGTATAATAGCCAACGTTGTTGTGAGTCGTCCGTTCCTTCTTCATTAGATGTAGACTAACATTAACCTTAGCCATTCACAAATGACTTCCCCCGCGCTGACATCCACGAACTTCTCGCCCCCGACATTCTTCATCAGCTCATCAAAGGCACATTCAAGGATCACCTTGTTGAATGGGTGGGCAAGTATCTCGCCGACGTTCATGGGAAAACGGAGGCTAAAAAGATAATGGATGACATTGATCGACGGTGCGTGAGTTCGGGTTGAGTTGGGTTACCTTTTCCACTCATATGTTCACCATCTCTAGAATAGCGGTCGCGGCACCCTTTCCCGGTCTTCGTTGCTTTCCAGAAGGTCGAGACTTCAAGCAGTGGACGGGGGATGATTCTAAAGCGTTGATGAAGGTACGTCACATTTCTTATTCATACCATACTATGACCAATCCCTCTACTAGGTCTACCTTCCTGCACTCGAAGGCCGCGTTCCCGATGACGTCGTCAAGGCTTTCCGCGCCTTCCTGGAGTTTTGTTACCTTGTTCGCCGGAACGCGCTCACGGACAAGGACCTCGTTGACATCCAAGACGCGCTCGATCGTTTCCACCATTACCGAACCTTTTTCACTGAGGCGGGCACTATCACGTCCATTTCCCTTCCACGTCAGCACTCCATGACCCGCTACCGTTGGCTGATCCAACAGTTCGGCTCTCCCAACGGCCTCTGTTCCTCCATTACGGAGTCAAAACACATTGAAGCTGTCAAGGAACCATGGCGCCGGTCCAGCCGCTTTAACGCTCTCGGCCAGATGCTCGTCACAAATCAACGCCTCGACAAACTCAAGGCCTGTCGTCGCAACTTTGATGTGCGGAACATGATCATTCCGCTCACAGAGGGATTCAAGGCCCTTCAACGTCGTACGTCTTTCATTCAGATACTTAACTATGTGTTCTCATCCCTTCTTTAGTCGCCGCGGCTCTCGATAACATGAGTGACGATCAATCGACTGCCACAAGCGGCGACCTTTCATTCCGGGAACCGCGTTCTCGGTCCCTTGACGAGCACCCAGAGGATGTCGAGATTGATGGGGTAGAGCTACTTGCAGAGGTCACGCTTTCGGATCGATCCAGTATGTCCCTTATGAGTCCGGTTTTGTTTCATTACTTACTCGCCCCTAGCTCCCGGCCGTCCCAAGACAATTGAGGACCTTTCAGCGGAGACCAACGTGCCGAACCTCGACCGTCTCACTCGCCGGTTCCTCTTCAGCTTACTCCATCCCCGAGATCCCCGCGTACAGCTACGCTCCGTCCCTCTGAAGGAGTGCCCCGACCTTCCGAAGCGCATCAAGGTTTTCAACTCCGCGCGTGCTGTCTTCAAGGCCCCAAGCGACCTCTGTGGGATGTCAGGCATGAAGAGTGAGCGCATACGTTCGTGCC